ATACCTCTTTATCATATTCTATATTCTAATGCAAGGATGTCTTTCCAGAGGCTGTTCTCTTGGTTTGATCTGTTTGTCTATCCCTGTGTTGGTATCATACTATTTAAATTGCTCTGTTTTCATGCCTTTTAGGGCTTATCAGTGAAACAGATGGCATGCTCCATTTGGGTAATTTGAAAAGAATTTAATCAAGGTACTGTTTATTTAGTGAGATACCACAGGGCTCAGAGAAACCACAGGAGCAAGTTTGTTACCCTGGGCTATTAGCTAATACCCCTAGGCATAAATAGGCAAGAAGAAACTTTTGCCAGAACCCAGTGGGCAGAATATGAGGAAGGCAGCCTTGAGAGTAGTGGTGCCTTTGGTGGAAGGAATGAAGATAGTGCCTTTGGTGGAAGGAATGAAGATAATAAATATCCAGACCTCACTCTCCTTCGCCCTCCCATTTCCTCCCGGTGCATCCTGTGGGCTGAACCCAGTCAAAAGCTAGAGGGCAGGGGACCTGATGGTATGCCGGCTACAGGCCAGCCCCCAGGGCACACAGCAGGGCAGAGTATGGATGGTGGATCTGGAAGGCAAAAGAAAGGTGTGCAGCCAGTAGGAAAAGTCTCTGCTCAAAAATTTCTCGGCTTTTCTTGTACGTATACTTAACAGTGATCACAGTCTTATATGCAGTTTGTTAACATTAAAAGCATTTCCTGTTTTGTCTGTTGGAGCATACCTTCTGGCAGCTGTTCTGTTTATTTGAAATGCGTTGTCTGTTTCCTTCTGTCTGAAATCTGGTATACTTACGTGGAATCCCCTATCTGTTCCTCCGAGCGGTTAGATCCCAAAGCCCTGCTTATTCTCAGAGCTCCTTTCTCTTTGTTAGATTCTTAGGCAATAAAACTATTTTGGTAAAAGACACCTTTCCCAACCACTATGTTGCTCCTGGACTTTGAACTTCATTAGGGGCAGAGACAGGATTTCTTTTAGCTTGCCGGAGTGGTGTGCGAAGATTCTGAGGCCACATCCAGTCTATGAGTATTGCGATGAGTTAAAAGTATCTGTTCTGGTCACAGTAATGAAATGTTGCTGCACGTTCTTGCATTTGTTTTCTAGGTGTTGTGTACTTGTCTCTGAATCCCCTTACTCTTACCTTGAGTGGCTCACCTCCCATTTTAGTCTTGTTTTTGCCTAGATGCAGTAAGGACAATGAAAGAAGAGAATGTTTTAGTCTTCTGTAGAATAAAGTGAGCTCCAATTTTCAAAGCACAACTAGAAAAAGCCTTACTCTAACTTATTAGAGAAGTTTCAAATCATGTGAATCTAAAATTTGGTCCTGTGAGAATAATTGGTAACCAGTTGAGAAAAAAAAAACCTGAGAGTAAAATAAAAAGTCATCTGCCCTGACTGCTCTTACTGTCTTTCCCATTCAGAGACTTGTAAGGTGTTAAGAGTGGAAGGGACTTTCAGTGCCGTTAAGACCATCTCCCTTTACAGATGAGGCTACATATTCAGAAAGGGAATGATTTGTCCACACAGTGGCAAGCGAGTGATGGAGCTGGAGTGGGAACCTTGTCCTCCTGGGGCTGTGTTCTATCCAGTATAGCACTTGTTTCTCATTTTGAACCCAGGACTGACTTTCTAGCATAGGTGGCTAACCTATTGTCTGTTCATGTGGGTATATATTAGCTCCTGAGCTAGAGTGGAAGCAACTTGAAGGCAGTAACCAAGACCTCTACTTATAAATCCATACAGCTTTGCACATTTAGAGTGTATGTTTTGTGTACTGAGTGAGCTTATCAAATGTCTATTAAGTTGAATAGATTGATCCTCTGTTGAAGAATTAACGATTTAGGGCAAAAGAAGAGCTAAGGAGTTACCGAAGATGTTTACAGTATTTAGTTGGGAAAAAGAGTTGGAAGTTAATGATTTTCTGGAGGATTATGTTAACAATTAACTTGTCATTCATTCAACAGAGGCCTGTAAAAGAAAGAAGAAACTGTATGAGCAAGTTATGCTGAGGAATGTTTGGTTTCATGGTGAGCGGGGGCAGTTTTGGTTTTGAGTATATAGGGACGTTCTCGGGGTCTCTTGCTGTCTTGGTAGGAGGTCCTGGGAGAGAGGAGATGTGTAATAGCAGTAGTGCCAGAGGTACTATTTCCAGAGAAGGCTGTTAAGCAAACACATTTCTTCCTTTTATTACTTTTTCAAGGGATATGTTCAGATGATTTTGTTTTTCTTTTTATTGAGTTGCCCTGTGTTGGTAAATGTGGGACAATTGCAGTTGAAGTTCAAAGTGTGGAAGAATCTTCTTCCTTAATTCCTGAATGCTCTGCGAAAGAGTGGGAGCCATCTGGATGTCAGAAGAGGAAGCTCTTAATGAGCTCCTTTTTGTTTTGCTCCAAAGACGTTTGAATTGATCGTTAGAATCACTTTAGCTCAGAAGCCTGCCTGGGCTTTGATATGGTGTAAAGGGAGGCGATTCCAGGGCCTCTGTGATGGGCATATGCACCAGCAACTGTTCCTCCGTATTTTAACTCGTGCCCCCTTGCTCCCCACATCCACAGCCCTGCAGGTGCCTGCTGTGGGGAACTTCTGACCCATCCTTTTGGTCCATGGTACTTGATCTGTGCTGTTTCCAGGTGGCTTGGCCCTCCTCTGAGACAGACATCAATTGCAAAGATCAGAGTGGGTTGGCTTTTGAAGAGGTTTTTCAGATTCTGCGTTGCAAACCTGCTGAGAAATGTGGTGCCCCTTTCATGTTTCCATTCCATCTGTCTCTTGAGAGGGCAAAGGGACAGTCTTCATGTGACCGGGGGCTGTTGACGTTGGCTGCAAATTCATTTCAAATTACTTTCCACTTTTGTCACAGGCATCTAACAGCCATTGTATTTCCTTGATCTTGACATTGTTCTAGCAAGGCTGCCAGTGAGCAAGGAGAAGAACTGTTCTGTACACTAACGCAGAACAGAGGTAAAGTTCTCGTTCATCGTGGGGTTATAACCAAATGCTTCTTAGTTTTTTCCTTTTTTGAAAAAAAAAAAATATTATTTATTTATTTTGGCTGCACCAGTTCTTAGTTGCGGCATGCAGACTTCTTAGTTGTGGCATGAATGCTGGATCTAGTTCCCTGACCAGGGATCGAACCCAGGCCCCCTGCATTGGGAGCACAGAGTCTTATCCACTGGACCACCAGGGAAGTCCCAGGAATGTATAATGTTAGTTTGCTAGTTAAGCTGCTAGTGACACCTCCTTAGGCAACCATAATACATTCATTGACTACCCTGTATACCATACGTGGGTTTCAACTGCATCATTTTCTATTCTGACAACAACCCTATAAGATGGTTGTTATCCTTGTTTTATAGATAAAAAAGTAAACTGAGGCTAAGTTTTAACCATATCCCGTATCAGGTATGTAGATGGGAGAGACCTTTGGTCCACTGAGTCTAAAGTCTTTTCTCTTTGTGCTCTACCAGGGGACCATAAGTGAGTCAAATTTAGCAACCACCTGACTTAATTTTACTAGGATGTGGCCACACCCATTTGTTTACATATTGTCTGTGGTTACTCTCACCTTGGCAGAGTTGGGTAGTTGCAACACAGGCTTTGTGGCCCACAAAGCAGAAAATATTTAATATCTGGACCTTTAAGAAAAAGTTTGTCAACTGCTGCAGACAGTGACCACATCATTAGGAACCGGGACAGTTTTTCTGGTTGCACAATGCAAGTATGAAAACCTAGAGTCTGTCATCTGTCTGTCTCACTTTTTTTTTTTTCCTTTCCCTTTTCTTCTGTCTTCTAAATACTTCTGTTAAGATTTTGTGGAGCTATGGTAGCCTTTACCTCTGAGTCTAAATGCCAGCTAGTGGTTTGGTTTATTTATTTAGAGATTTCCTGTTGGAAATCTTGTGATAGATTGTTTGAGATTCTAAATGGTTTTGTGAAGTGTAAGTTTTTCAGCAGGTCTTTTTTTTTTTTAAGTCTGTCTTTCTTGAGGGAAAACATCAGATAATGTAATAGTGCTGTGATTTAGCAAGTTCTGCTGCTTTCATTCTGAAAGGGGAGCTTCCCTGTGTTCTTGCCTGATGTTAATGTATTATTACATGGACAAATTCTAGCCAGGGTGGGTTTGAAGGAATATTAATACCAGTTTTATGCTCCTCAGGCTTACTGGAGGTTTGCCTAAGAGAAAGTAAGTTGTAAGATAGCAGTTCTCAAGTATCAGTGTACAGAAGAAACACTTCGAGATGCTTGTTAAAAAGTGTAAATTCCCAAACTCTCAGCCTAGGCAATTCTGAGTCAGTAAGTCTGTCGTAGGTGCCTCTGATGCTTATGAGAAAAAGCTGGTTTGGGGAGTAGAGTCTTGTGTAATACAGTGATTCCAGGCAGTCCAAATAAAAATGGCATTGATGACTAGTTTTTTAATCCTGCTTCAGTTTACCTTGGAATGTGATGTTGTAACTATAAATGTTACATGGTTAAGTAAAACATAACAAGAAAATTATACTGCTATAAATGCATTTTAAATACTTCTTTCTTCTATTACCACAAATAACAATAATAGCATTTTATGTTTTATGTAGTTCTTTATAGTTATATAGTTCCTCATTATACACCTCATTTGATTTTCTGTCACCCCTTGAGGTAGATGTGGCAAGTAGCGTGTTTTTCACTTGTCAAGTGAGTAACAGATTTAGAAAACAAGTGTATTTTTTTTCCCTAACACAGCACAGCTAATAAGTAGTAAACCTAGAATTCCTGTACACCACTTCTGATTTCTAGTCCAGCATTACATGCAATGTACATTATTGTCCTTATCGTGCCCATTTTGATTTTTAGAGGAAAATATTGTTCTGATATCCTTCATAGAGAAAGGATGAGCTGTCCATAGTTAAATACTTTGGTAATCTCCCATAGGTGACTCAGTGTGGAGGTGGTTACAGTAGTATACAGATTGGCAAACCAGTTGTTTTTTTAGCACTGAAGAAGAAATCTCTCTCCTTCTTTGACAGAAACTTCATAAGACAGGTCGGGAGATGCAGGAGAGGATCATGGACCTGCTCGTGGTGGTGGAGAATGAAGATGTCACTGTTGAGCTAATTCAGGTGAATGAGGATTTGAATAACGCCATCCTTGGATATGAGAGGTGAGCAGTGGCACGCCCTCGCCGACCCTCCTCCAGTGCTAGTTTAACCTCCAGGTACTCCGTGTTCTTAGAGTGCCTAGAGGTGAGCAGCGGCACGCCCTCTCCGACCCTCCTCCAGTGCTAGTTTAACCTCCAGGTACTCCGTGTTCTTAGAGTGCCTACAGATGAGCACTCAGAAAGATCAGGAACAAGTTCTGGACATGGCTGCCTTCCTCCCAAGATAGGGAATCCTGGTCCTGCTCTTCTGGGAGCGTGTGCTATGGCTTGCAGAAATGAGCATGTGCCTGAGCAGTGTGAGGGGCATTCACGAGCAGTGTAAGCAATGCTCACGTACTGCCCTGTGAGCAGGGCCTGGATCTTAATCACGGAATGTTGTCTGCACTGAGCACATCGTAAGCTCTCAAATAGACCAATGCTACAAACAAAGCGGCGTAGTGAAAGTTAGGTTTACCCTAAGTTTGAGGTGGAGAACAACATGGAAATGGTAAAGAGAAGAGAGGAGGATATTTATATGGAGAAAATAGTCTACACAAAACCAGAGTAGCCAGTGAGGATAATCTGTATATGAACACAGATTTTTTTCTAAATTCCGTTCAGAAAAGTATGAAGGCAAAAAGTTTAAACACAGTCATCCCTTGATATCTGTAGGGGATTGTTTCCAGGAACCCCGCCAAGGATACCAAGATCCACAGATGCTCAAGCCCTTTATGTTAAATAGTGTAGTATTTGCATATAACCTATGCACATCCTCCTGTACACTTTAAATCATCTCTAGATTACTTATAATACCTAGTAAATGTAAGTGCTATGTAAATAGATGCTGGTTCATGGCAAATTCAAGTTTCCTTTTTAGAACTTTCTGGAATTTTTCTTTTTCGAATATTTTCAATCTGAGGTTGGTTGAATCCTCAGATGCAGAACCCACAGATACAGAACCTGTGGATACAGGGGTCTACTGTACTCATAATTTTGTTTCTAACATTTTAGTATTTTTCTAAACTTTTTTATAGTCGTGATCATATAAAGAACATATACTTTTGTTTCTCCCTTGATTTTCTTTGCCGTAAAACCAATATTTGTGTATCCTATGTTATTAAATGCTTTGGCTAAACCATTTTTTTTTTTTTTTTTTTTTTTGCTGTACGCGGGCCTCTCACTGTTGTGGCCTCTCCCGTTGCGGAGCACAGGCTCCGGACGCGCAGGCTCAGTGGCCATGGCTCACGGGCCCAGCCGCTCCGTGGCATGTGGGATCCTCCCGGACCAGGGCACAAACCCGTGTGCCCTGCATCGGCAGGCAGACTCTCAACCACTGCGCCACCAGGGAAGCCCTAAACCATTATTTTTAATAGCTGCATAATGGTCCACGTTTCTCTCACAGTTCACTTATTAGGCATTTAAGTTGTTTCCAAGTCATTTATTCATTTATCAAAGTAATAGTCTTTTTTTTTTTTGTTTTTGCGGTACACGGGGCTCTCACTGTTGTGGCCTCTCCCGTTGCGGAGCACAGGCTCCGGATGCGCAGGCTCAGCAGCCATGGCTCACGGGCCCAGCCGCTCCGTGGCATGTGGGATCCTCCCGGACCAGGGCACAAACCCGTGTGCCCTGCATCGGCAGGCGGATTCTCAACCACTGCGCCACCAGGGAAGCCCTAAACCATTATTTTTAATAGCTGCATAATGGTCCACGTTTCTCTCACAGTTCACTTATTAGGCATTTAAGTTGTTTCCAAGTCATTTATTCATTTATCAAAGTAATAGTCTTTTTTTTTTTTGTTTTTGCGGTACCCGGGGCTCTCACTGTTGTGGCCTCTCCCGTTGCGGAGCACAGGCTCCGGATGCGCAGGCTCAGCAGCCATGGCTCACGGGCCCAGCCGCTCCGCGGCATGTGGGATCTTCCCGGACCGGGGCACGAACCCGTGTCCCCTGCATTGGTAGGCGGACTCTCAACCACTGCGCCACCAGGGAAGCCCCAAAGTAATAGTCTTATAACCTATTGTTATCTATAGTCAAGCCTATAGTCAGGAAAACACCTTCAGTCATATATATAAATACACACTTGGAAAGTGAAATAAATGCAGTGAATAGGACGTCTATTTGGTGAGAATAACAGCCAGACTAATCCAGGTCAGAAACAGGACAGGAAGCCTTCTATGAGGAAGTACCATTTAAGCTGAGAACTATGGGATGAGGAGGAGTTGACTAAACCAGGAGCAGGTAAGAGCACATACGGTTGTGAAGCTATGGGAAGGCACAACAGGCCTGGGGAGAGTGCCGGCACCTAGACCCCGGCCCCAAAGAGTGGCAGCATGCTTCTATTGACAGGTGGCTTTCTCCTCAGTCTTAATGAGAAGTGCTATATACAAACATAGCTTCAGGCAAGTCTCCTAGTCTCTTTCCAAACCTGTACCTAGGCCTTCCTAGCATAGAAATTCTGGAGTCTCTGAGATCCCCAAACTTTTTCTAGATCCTTGTTTCAAATAAGAGTTGTATTGGCGTTTTGGGTAGGGCAGTTTTCCCTTATGTGGCCTCTACCTGCTAAATATCAGAGGTTTTCCTCCTAGTTACAGTGACATTTCAAGACACCCTTAGGGGAACCATTTCTGTCAAGAATTCCCTGGAATTAGTGGCCATATTTCCCACCAACAGATGAAGAATGGGACCAGTGTGACATAAGGGAAGGAGGTGAACAGGTCTGGATTCAAATCTTGCTGATGATTTTGGACAAATTGCTTAACTTTTTGTAAGATTTGGGTTTTTTCATATTTATTAAAGAGGATAATACTACCTATTTGGAGAGGGTTTGTTTATTTTATTTGTTTGTTTCTAAGAATTAAATGCAATAATATATATTAAAGCACCTAGCTGGGTGCTAGCACATTAAATATTAATTTCTTGTCCTCCTCCTCTTCTTGTCCCAGTGAGCCTTTTAATTTATTGTCTAGACTTTTTTTCCCCACTCATAGTGAATGAACCAAGAGAATCAGGGAAGTAAAACCCACAGCTGCGAAATAAGTTCTTTCCCTCACTGTCTCACTGTCAGGGAGAGCGGCCGTTCTGTGAAGAGGCGACAGGGCACCAAGGGAGGGATGTGAGCCCTGTGACCATGTTCCCTTACCACTGAGCAAACCTTGCCCTTCGTTTTTTGGGGTTTTTTTTGTTGTTTGGGGTTCTTTTTGGGGGCTGGTTGGTATAAATCTTTGTAAATGGGAAGATATCTAAGGAAAACCATATGGTTTTCAGTAGAGTGCTGACTCATGGTTTTCATTTTGGAGAATTCTATTACAAACCATAAGACCACTTACTAAAAGCTTCCTCCAAGGGGGAACGTGTGTTTATCTGGTCTCGATATCAGGAGACTGGATTATTTCTGTGAACAGCTTTTTCTGATTCAGCTTTGATCCAGGGCTGCATTCCTTTTTGGAGGAAAATCTTTTCCTTAACTTGTGCAACTTATGCCACTTTCCTAGGCCTCTGACCCCTTTCCTCCGTCTTCAAAGCCAACGTTGTCTGGTCGGGTCCTTCTCACATTGTATCCCTCTTGCTTCCTTCGTCTGCCTCCCTCGTCCACGTTTAAGGACCTTTGTGATTACACTGAGCTCATCTGTGTGGCCCGGGATAATCTCCCTATTAAAGTCCCCTCATTAGCAATCTTCACTCCATATGCCATCTAACCTAACATATTCACTGTTCCATTGATTAGGATGTGGATATCTTGGCAGGGGAATCATCCTGCTTACCATGCTCACCACAGTCTGCCCTCTGTTCCCTAAAGATTCACATCCACCCCTCAGGCAAAATATATTCACCCTATTCCAAAATCCCCAGAAGTTTCCACTCATTACATCCAGGGAATAGCTGTGCAAGTAAGATAACAGAAATTGTTACTCAAGGCTTGATTTGTGAAGGTTGTTCATACCTTGCACATAACTAGCTAGCATGCAGGAAGCCAATACTATGAGTAGATGGAAGAAGAAGCACGTGTGTTAGAAAGGGGAAAATCCTTAAACCTAAGCCATGTTTTAATTCAGTATAAGCTTTTACACTTGAAAGTGTTTAGGTTCATGGAATCAATGTGTCGTAATACTATGTATTTCTAAAGCAGCTTTTAGTTTGCAAAGCATTTCCACATTCATCCACCTGTATTATCTGTCTGTATCTTGCCCTTGAGAATAACTTTGAGGAAATGGTTCAAATATTGCTATTCTCTTTGAGTAGATGGAGAACTGAGGATCATATGTATGGTCTTATAACTACTCAGTAATAATACTGACACTTGTGCCTTGGATTTCTGCTTTCAGCTTCACTATTCTTTGAAACCTATTCTCTTATTTATTTAACTGCTCCTCCTTTACCCACAGTGTACGAACAATGTAAAATTAAAACAAAGTTGTAAAAGGTAATATTGTTAGGTGTCAAGTGTCTTATAAAAATGAAGATTAAAGAGTGAAAATATGTTAATTGTGAATTTTATGGAAAATGATCATTTTTGATAATTTTGGCAAAATTAGAAACAACTCAAATATTTGAGATTAAGGAGAATATTTATATATGTGATTCATTAGGTTAAGTATGCAACGACTATAAGTTGTATTTCTGAATAACTAGAAAAATGATCTGAACATAATGGAATTAGAATACAGAATTATGTAAAGTATAATTTCTACTAAGTTTAAAGTAGATTAACTTACAGAAAAAAATACTAGAAGGAAGTACATCATAATATTAATAGGAACCATATCTTGATGATGGAATTATTCATATTTGTAATATTTGTCCATTTTCTCATAGTTTTCTTTAAAGGCATTATTACTTTTATGAACTGGGAAAAAGTTATTAAAGTACTTTATTAGGAATTGGGGATGAGGCTGATTATTCCTAAATATTTGCACGTTAATAATTCTGTTAAATATTATAGCATTTTCATATCTGTTTTCTTTTAAATACTTGCATTTTGTTAATTCACACAGGTTCATTCGAAACCAACAAAGGATTTTAGAGCAAAATAAGAACCAGAGGGAAGATGCCAATGTAAGTAAATAGAACTGTTATAAAATAAACAATTGAAAATTTTATGAATTCTACAGCAAGGACCAAAGCTTATATAAAACAAGTCTTAAAAAAGAGGAGACATGCATTAATGATTTGGAGTGGTTTTAGTAGTGTAGAGTATCTGCCTTAATAACTCATTGAGTTATTGATAAGAGGCCATAAGAAGATTCTCTAATTAGGCAGGGACCCATGTCAGTGGTGAGATGTGATTAGTACTAGCATTGTCTATTGAATGGAGAGTTCTCTCTCAGGATACTTGCAAATAGGATCTTCCTTTCTCCAAAGGAAAGTCTGGGGAGAAAGCTGTGACAAACTGCCTGACATAGTTTTTTCTAAATTGTGTTTTTGTTTGCTTTGTTTTCAGACTACCAGTGAACCTTCTGCCCCGTCCTCTGATCTCCTTGACCTGAGTCGCAGCCCTCTGATGCATAGGGCCACTTTGGGAGAACTCAACACCCTGAATGCTCAGCTTTCAGACTTAAGTAAATAAGCACATGGGCCTTTTCAGACCAGTGGAAAAGCTTGATGTGAAACAGTTCTCTTGGTTTCTTGATTAAATGGAACCTGAGAAGAACTGAAGTCAATTTGAATATCAGAGAACTATATCAGGAGATTTAAGTACTTCTTGACAAATGGTTAGGTCACATCCAGTACAGGAATGGGATGTGTCTGGCAGAGGAGGTCCTTGAAACTCATCCCACTGGCTTAGTATCTCGACAAATTCGCCTGGCCTACTTGTAGAGCTTGTTCAGCTCCATGGCCAATACTTAAACCTACTCTGAACCCACTCGCTATTATCTTTGGTTTTCTCTGCCATACTACAGCATCAGGAAGGGGAATATTTGATGCATATAGACAAAATCAGGAATTATGAGGCCTCATGATGGCGAAATGTGGAGGGCAAATCACAAGCTTTTGAGTCAGAGAAGTCCAAGTTGAAATCCCAGTTCTGGCACCTCCTAGCCACCCACCTTAGAGACTTTCCTACTTTATAAAGTGAGAGCAATTGTTGCTTTAATGGTTTTCTGTGAAGGTAAATGAATGATGTTGCACTGTAGGCTTAGGGTTACCTACCTTATCTGTCTTATTTGTTGTCTCCTATTACCCTTCCCAAAGAGTTTTGGTAAATTACAAAGTAAAGATGATGAAAAATGCTGAAATCCAGAATTTTCTGCCAAATTAAAATCAATTTGTTTTCCTTTTATGTTAGCAGGATTTTTTAGAATCAGAATAGTCAGTGTCACTCAATTTGTGGTTTTCTTATTACTTACCCCATTTCTAAAATGTTGGCTGCTTGCTTAGACCAGTGGGATGTTTGGAGTCCATTATATTGAAGAGTTTTCTTGAGTTTTTATCAGGCATTTTCAGAGCGGGGGTGGAAATAATTATTCTCTTTGGGGTGTCTCATGATTATGGGAACTTGAGAGTTTGGAGAGGTGAGGGTAGAGCTCTATATATGCCATAGCTTTTTACTTTTGTGCTTGACAGGATAAGACATAAAATCCCTTCCATTGTGGGTCAGCTTGGGATTTTAGAAAACAACACAATAACGTTTGCTACCTTTACAACATCCCCTTTTTATGGCAGGGAATTTCTCTCTTTCCAATTGCTATAAATGACGTTTTTGAATTTCTGTTTGAGGAGATCCCACGATTTTACGGTGACAGAACTATCTCAATCTCCTTAATTTGGTGTTTTTTTTTTTTTTTTTAAACAGCGGAAAATTCAACAGAACTGATGGACAAAATGTTTTAGAGCCAAGCAATAAGTACATTTTGTGTTCTAGATTTCAGCTCTCCAAGTCCTGTTGTAACAAACAACTTGAAACCCAGTCTTCATCCACAGGTGGATTTGCTAGCCTCAGAAAACACAGAAACACCCCTGTAAGTATGTCAGTAATACTCCAGAACTAATTCCATCTCATTCTGATTCCTCATATTTAAGAAAACATGACATAATAGAAAAGGTAGAGACTTAGGAATCATACATAACTGATTTAGAATTTCAGTACAGCTTCCTATTAGCTGTGTGACCTTGGATGAGAAACTTAACCAGTGTGAGCCTTCATTTCTCTTCTAAGAATACTCTCTAGGATTCTTAAAAAGATTCTGTGCAGTGTTGTATGTACCTCCTAGTATAGCACTCAGTACATAGCAAGCCTTCCATAAATTCCCTGTTTCTCTTATTTTTTTAGTGGTAACAGGAGGTAGGAAAAATACAATGACAAAGTGGGGGAACAGAAACAACCATACAGATTGCAGAGCACTTGCTATGTGGCAGGCACTTTGCTGACCTGTATTTATTTATTGCATTTAATCTTTGCAAAAGTTCTTGGATCAGTGCTATTATCATTATTCCCATTTTATAGGAAAAAAGGCTGAGACCTAGGGAATAGAAGTTCATGTAGTGATTAAGTAGCAGGTCTGGTGAACTGATAGTTCACCAAAAAGAAATACAGATGACTTAGAAACATATTTTTGCTAGTGATGCTCAGCCTTACGTACAGTTACAGAAATATAAATTAAACTGCAATAAGACTTTTTTTAACCTCAGAGATTGGCAGTAGTCTACATGTTTGTTAACATGCTTTGTTAACTGGAGAGACAGATACTATCACAAAACTGTGCAGTTTTTATGAGGGGCAAGTAGCAATATCTATTAAAATTATAAATGCATTTACCTTTGAACTTGCAGTCTAGGAATTTATGCTTATTTATGCAAAATAAGGTCTTTACAAGATTATTCTTGACAGCATTTGTGCAATAGCTAATAATTAGAAACAACTCAAGTACCCTTCAGTTTGGGGAATGGTTAAATAAACATCTACACAACACATTATTATACTTCTGGAGAAAAAAGTAGGCCCTCTATGTGAGGGACAATCACCAATGTATTTATTATTAAATGAGAAAAGGTGCAAAGTAGTGTGTGTATACTATCTCAAATTTGTATAAGAGAGTGAGAAATAATATATGCTAATATTTGCCACTCTTTGCATAGAGAAACATAAGAAAGATGCAGAAGAACCTAAAAAAAGCATGGTTACCTAAGGTCAAGAAGAGGCAGAATGGAACAGATAAACAACAAAAAAATAAACAGAAGTTAGGTTTGCCTTCCATCAAAGCCTATTATATTCGTTTTTTTCCTTTTAAATATATGTATTTTAGGTAATAGGCAATACATTTCCATGATGCAGATATCAAAGCAATATAAAAAGATGTACAAGGAAAATACTTGATCTCATCCCACCCCCATCCTGCCTCTTGCCCTCCCTTGGGTCATACCTGCTCCCACCCGGGGAACTCCTTTGTTAGTTTCTTATTTATCCTTCCAAAATGTCTAGGTAAATAAGAATATGAATTATTTTTTCTCCTTTATTAAATAAAGGGCAGCATACTATGCATACTGTTTTGAACCTTGCTTTTGTTTTTCACTCAACAGCATGTCTTGGCTGTGTTTTTATGTCAATGGACTTAGATATTTTTTAGTTACTTTTCTATATTAAAAAGGAGAGGAGCAGACTGAGGAGAAGAGAAAGGAGAATCAAACTGGGGAAAAAAGCAAAAAAAAAAAAATGTGTAAGGGAAGAAGAGAGAAAGGAAAGATTCATGTGCTGGGACATGGCTATCTCTTGAACCACCAGGTTGGGTCATTACCTTAGCTTGACTCCCTCTGGTCTTGACTGCTGTGATGCAAGTAAATGTTGAAATGTTGTAGGCAGAACTCCAGTGAAGTTCCTTAGTAAATAATGTGGTCTGAAGTAGCTGATTCTGTTTTCCTTTATTCTGCAAATCTTCTTGGGAAAGATTGACCATAAAGATGAAATCCCATTATAAAAAATGTCTGTGTAAAACTCACACAAAGATCAAATCCTAGCTAACAGCTGCTTAGTTTTGTGGATCTCATACTCTAAGGTGCATAAAAATCACTTGAGTGATTATTAAACAGTAAAATTGCTGGCCCCCAGAAACTCTGATTCAGTAGCAAGAATCTTTAGTTTTAAAAAATGTCTCTGGAGAACCATAAGGCAGTGATCAGCTGATCGTTAGAAACCCTGTTATAATTGTCTGCCCAAGTTCCAAATATCAAAATAATTACAATAGTTCTTAGAATTCACTGGAATAAAAGATAATGTGTGACATCTATATTTTGTTTTCTAGACTATGTCTTTTGTATCTATTTTTTTCTGATTTTCAGAAAAAGCTTATATTGATACATGAGTGAAAGTATCACTAGTCCAATTTTTTAGTGATGGAAATTGAAGCACTAAAGTTACCTAAGGCATGAATCTGGGTTAAATCATATGCCAAAGATTACATATCAGTGGCAAAATCAGCCATCAAAATATCTTAAGAGTCTTGAGACTTTTCCACCTCTCTGTGTTTGCAGTTTAATTAATCATCACAGAACAAATGAGTGATGGAATTATTCATAACAGAAAGGATCCCTGAAAAGCGATGATGATGGGATAAAGCCACAGGTCATATTTATAGCCCAGTTAGTATCAGGCAATAAGGCTAAGAAGAATAAGAAATGCTTACTAATTACTTACTAGTGCTCCCTACAGGCCTATGAGATAGGTACCCCCAGTATTCACTGTACAAGTGAAGAAACCAAGGCTGCTAACTAGTGCAAAAAGAGGATTCAAATTCAAGTGGATCTGATTTCCATACCTGCTCTCATTTTTTTCTTTCTGCACTTTAATTTTATTTTAAAAATTTCCAGGAGCTTCCCTGGTGGCCTAGTGGTTGAGAGTCCGCCTGCCAATGCAGGGGACACGGGTTCGTGACCCGGTCCAGGAAGATCCCACATGCCGCGGAGCGGCTAGGCCCGTGAGCCATGGCCGCTGAGCCTACGCGTCTGGAGCCTGTGCTCCGCAACAGGAGAGGCCACAACAGTGAGAGGCCTGCATACCGCAAAAAAAAAAAAAAAAAAAAAAAAAATCCGTATGGTAAAATTGACCCTTTTTTTGTTTGGTGTACAGTTCTATGTATTTTAACATATATACATAGATTCATGTAACCACCCCCACAGTCTGAATGTAGAATAGTTCATTATCCCAAAAAGCTCCCTTATGCTATTATTCCTTTATAGTCACACATCCCCATCCCCAAGCCCCAGCAGCCACCAGTCTGTTCTCTATCATTATAGTTTGTGACAATAGCATCTGAATAGAGTCATACAGTATGTGATATTTCTAGAAAAGTTTATGTAAAATTATTTGCTTTATGTATTTGAAGCTCTGTCTTTAAGTGCATTTGCATTCAAGATTGTTGTCTTCTTGGTGAATTGACCCTTTTATCATTATGTAATGTCCCCTCTTTATACCTTGTAATTGTCTTTGCCCTCATGTTTACTTTGATATTAATATAGCCACTCTAGCTTTCTTTTGATTAGTGTTCACATAGTATATCTTCTTCTGCCTTTTTACTTTTTTTTTTTTTTTTTGGCTACGTTGGGTCTTCGTTGCTGTGCGTGGGCTTTTATCTAGTTGCGGCGAGTGGGAGCTATTCTTCGTTGTGGACCACGGGCTCTAGGCACGTGGGCTTCAGTAGTTGTGGCTTGCGGGCTCTAGAGTGCAGGCTTAGTAGTTGTGGCGCATGGGCTTAGTTGCTCCGCGGCATGTGGGATCTTCCTGGACCAGGGATGGAACCTGTGTCCCCTGCATCGGCAGACAGATTCTTATCCACTGCGCCACCAGGGAAGCCCTGCCTTTTTACTTTTAACTTAATTATTTGAAGTGAGTTTCTAATTGATAACATATGGTTGGGTCGTGCATTTTTATGTATTTTAATAATTTCTGTCTTTAATTGGTATGTTTAGGCCATTTACATTTAATATGTTTGCATTTAGGTCTAGCATTGTGTAATTTGCTTTCTATTTGTTCCCTTTGGTGTGTGGGTTTTTTTTTTCTGTTTCCTCTTTCCTTCATACTTTAGGTTATTTGAATGTTTTCAATATTCTGTTTTATCGGATTTTGTATCTTTGTGTAGTGTATATATGGGGAGGGAAGGAACGGTTGCTAGGAATTACAGTTTTTTGGGGGTACTTAAAACCAGTATTTTCCCACTTGAAGTGAAATATAGAAACCTTATTATCATACAGCGCTCCCCTTTAATAATATAAATCATAGTTGCTGTATGTATTATGTATGTTAAAAAACCACGACCAGACAATGTATAATTATTATACAATTATTTTTCCATAATATAGTTTTTGCTTGCAACACTCAAATTTTAAAGACTCAGGAAGAGAAGAATAGTCTATTATATTTACCCAATATTTACCATTTCTGTTGCTTTCCTTCTCTTCTCTCTGAAGAATTTCTTTTAGCATTATTTTAGAGAAGGTCTGTTGGCAGTGAAAGTCTCTTAGATTATTTCATGTGAGTATGTCTTTTTCATTTTTGTTCCTGAAGGATATTGGATTCTGGGTAGATGGTTCTTTTCTTCCAGCAGTTTTTAAACATTGTTCCAGTCTCCTCAGGCCTAAATGGCTTCTAATGAGAAAGCTAACATTCATTCAAATTTTCTTTTTCCCCTGTTGATTCTGTGTTGTTCTTTTCTGTCTGTGCTTTAAGAACTTTTCTTTTGTTCTAATTTTGAACAGTTTGATTATGATGTGTCTGAGCATGCCTGTCTTTTGGTTTTACTGAGTGTATTCATTTCCTGTGGCTACCATAAAAACATTACCACAAACTGGTGGGTTTAAAACCACAGGAACTTATCTTTATAGAGTTCTGGAGGTTAGAAGTCTGAGAGAAAGCAAGGCAGTCTCCCTCCAGGGCTCTCAGAGGAGAAGCCATTCTTTGCCTCTTCCAGATTCTGGTGAGTGTTGGCACTCCTTTGTTATTTTGGCTTGTGGCCACATCACTTCACTTTCTTTCTCCACCTTCACATTACCTTCTCTCCTGTGTGTCTCAGCCCCTCCTTCCCCCCACTCCTGTTTTTCTGTTTTAAGGTCACTTGTCATTGAATTTAGTGCCCACTCGAACATCATCTCAGTGTCCTTAATTATATCTACAAAAACCCTTTTTCCAAATAAGGTGACACTCATAGGTTCCAGGAATTAGGACAAGGACATAACTCTTTGGGAGCCACGACTCAACCTATTACACTGAACTTCTTGAATCTGTGGGTTTGTCTTTGACCAAATCTGTGAAGTTTTAAGCCTTTATTTCTTCAAATATTTTTTTCAGCACTACACACTTTCTGCCGTCCTTCTGGGACTTTTGATGACACACGTTAGATCTGTTGTCATTGTTTCATAGATCCATAGGGTTCTGTTCATTGCTTTTCTCACTCTGTTTCCTCTGTCATCCCCACTTTGCTGTTTAGCTCATTCTGTAATTTTTTAAAAATTTCAGTTACTGAAATTTTCAATTCTAAAATTCCCATTTGGCTCTTTCTAATCTTGTGTTTCTTTGCTGAGACTCTATTTTTCTGTTTTTTATCAAGAGTGTTCACAGTTCCTTGCTGAAGCATTTGTATAAATAGCTACTTTAAAATTGTAAGATAATTTCAGCATCTTTGTACTCTAGATATCAACCACTGTTGATTGTCTTTTCTCTTGCAAGTTTAAATTTTCTCAGTTCTTCATATGCATAGTAATTTTGGATTGTATCTTGGACATTTTTAATGATATGAGACACTTCATCTTATCTAAATCCTGTTGAGAATGTTGATGTTTTGATTAGTAGGCAACCAACCTCATGAGGTTTACACCACAGTTTCAGCCTGCCTTCTGTGTGCTTCGGTTCCGATGTCAGTTAAATTTTCAAAGCCTTGGCAGTGCCATTGAGACCTGTCCCACATGTGTGCCACCCAGTATTCATGTAAGGTCTGGATAGCAGGCTGTGTGTTCAGTTCTCAACATCTTTGGCATTTATTGGGATCAGCCATGGATGCATAGATCAGGGTGTGAGCCCAGGATTTCATAAACAACTTTAAGGTTGTTTTCCTGAATTCCTCCCTCTTTGTGATTTCTCTGGTTCTTTGCTTTCCTGGGACTCCCTTTTTTGGCTCTCCAGTCAAAAAGCTGAAGGTTTACTATGCCATGCATTTCCTTGACTATGCTTGTGTTGGGCACCAAATGGCAGGACAGAAGGGATAAAAGAAACAACAGAGGTTTGCCATATCCTCTTGGGATCACAGTTCTACCTCTTAGAGAGGAAGGTTCCCCTCACTCAGAGTTTTAAGCCCCTGTAGGTCCCTGTTGCCTCTGCTGTCACTGCAGCCACCTTGGGATTGCCTAGGGTTTGGGGTGTGAAAGAACAAAGAGGAAAAAAGGGATGGGGGATTTCCACACTCTCTCTGAGCATTAGGATTTCCCTTCTCTGCTCCTTGAGTGAGAATAAGAGGCCTCTCCTGGAGCTCTGTCTTCACTGCCCACTTGGGTTTTAGGCTGCACCGCATTCCAGTTAGGGAATACCAGAGGGGCAGAACATGGTAAGTTCACCAACATTTCACTGATACTCAAATTCTAGTCTTCTTTCCCAATCAGCCTGTAACTAGTGTTTACTTTTCAGTTCTCAAATATTTGCCCCACGCATTCTGTCCAGGTTTTATAGTTGCATTTGGTGGGAGAGACAGGGTGAAGTGTGTTTATTCCAACTTTACTCCAAACTGTCCCCCCTTCCTAACCTCTACTCTGCATTGCCCCTCATCCTTTAGGAAACGATGGGGTGGTAGCTACGCTCATGCAAAGACTGAAGGCTCTGCTGTCACTGGTATAGTGTGCACACTCCAGGGTCTCAAGGCTGCCACTGCCTGGGGACAGGGTTTTATCTTTACTGTCTGGTATTTGGGCATCATGATCTGCTGGGCACTAAAACCAATGGTAATTTTTATTGATATATAAAATTAATACGTTTGTGTAGTCTGAAGGTACATTTTGGGTTTTGTTTTTAGACCAGGAAGGTCATCTTTTTGCATCTTTGATCTCACTGTAGGGTAATCATGCTGTGTTATCACACTATCCTAGGTTTGTCCAAAGGACCAGCCAAAACCTCACCTCAAGTCCTACATATGAGAGTGTAAGTAATGAAGACCTTCCCTGGCAGTGCACCTGATGAGCAATTATCATGCTAAAAAGGAACTCCTGGTCCTTAATTCTCATGTTCTGCTCAAAGTTTCTTTATAATGTGTTGATGCAGCCCTTGTTAGGACTTTTCCTTGCTGTCTTTTTAATCATTTAAGATAGACAAGTGTAGTCTCACTTCCGTTAGAAAGACGGTTAAGGATCAGAATTCCCTTAGAGCTGTTTATATTTGCTGTCTCCACTTTCTTTCCTCCCACCCTCTGACAGACTTCAGACAAGTTCTCATTCCAGCCACTTTACTGGCGGAGCTCTTGTCAAGGTCACCAGAGACCTCCAGATTTACTAAATGTAGTCCTGCAATTCTCAGTCTTCATCTCACCTGATCAACAGCAACTGAGTCAGTCACATCCTATTTTCTGCACGTGTGGCTTTCAGATACCACTCACTTTGGGTTCTTCTCTTGCCTCAGTTCTCCTCCATCCCCTTTGCTGGTCCCTCCTCGTCTACTGGCCTTTCAGTATTGGAGACCCCAGGAATCTGGCATTCATTCCTCCATGGTCTTTTGGTCTCATATCTTGAAATTCCATTCAGACTGACGACTTACAAGTTGCTGTCTCCAGACCTTATGCCTTCCCTACCCTCAGAACTCACATTTCCACCTTCCATCTTGAAATTCCATTCAGACTGACGACTTACAAGTTGCTGTCTCCAGACCTTAGGCCTTCCCTACACTCAGAACTCACATTTCCACCTTCCACTTCACATCTCCTCTTGTTTTCTTTCAGTCCTGTCTCCCGATTTGCTCTTCCTGCTGTCTTTCCCACTCAGTAAATGACCACTATTTCAGTTGCTGAGGTCAAAAACCTTGAGAAATCATGCTTGACCTCCACCATTTTACCTCTACCTTCAAAATATATCCATTATCCAGCCACTTCTCACCACCTCCACTACCACATCCCATTTCAAGCTACCATCAGATGGATATTGCAGTGGCCTCCCTGAGTGTTGTCTTGCTTCAGCCTTCACCTTCCTCTCCACCCCCACCCCCATCACATAATCTATTCTTAAAACAGAAACCAGAGCAATCTTTTTCCTCTTTTGGCTGTGTCAGGTCTTAGTTGCAGCACACGGGATCTTTCGTTGCAGCGTGTGGGCTTCTCTCTAGTTGTGGCACACGGGCTCCAGAGCACGTGGGCTCATTAGTTGCAGTGCGCAGGCTCTCTAGTTGTGGCACATGGGTTCAGCAGCTGTGGTACACGGGCTTAGTTGCCCTGCGGAATGTGGGATCTTAGTTCCCTGACCAGGGTTCAAACCAGTGTCCCCTGGATTGCAAGACCAATTCTTAACCACTGGACCACCAGGGAAGTCCCCATGGCAATCTTTTCTAAAAGTAAAGTTTGTATTATGTTACCCATTTGCTCTAAAACCACCTGTGATTTTCTACTGACTCCATTTTACTCAGTAAAAGCCTGAAATGCTGCCCTGACCCCTCCCACTACCTCTCTAGCTGCACCTCTTGCCTCTCCAACTGCACTGGCCACCCCCCTGCTTCAGAGCATATGACCATATGACCTTAGCTAATCGCACGACCCGCATCAGAATCAGGGTTCTGCTCAGTGTCCCCAGTGGTGAGGCATTCCCTTGACTATGACTGTCAGAGCAATATCCCACCCCAGCCTCTCTTCTCCTATTACCCTGCTTTTTCCAGAGAGCACTTGCTATCTGACACCTGTTTACATTTGTTGATTGTCTGCTTCTTGAGGGCAGGGATTTGGCCTGCTTTATTTACTGCTTTATTTATAGAGCCTGGCATACAGTAGGTGCCCAGGACATATTTATGAAATGAATGAAGAAAATTACAAGAAGAAAGATATTTCTAATTAAAACTTTAAGTCTTGATTTAATATCTTCACCTTATGCTTTTTTGTAGTTAATATTGTTTTTTGTCCTTTGAGGCCGAGGTTTTATTCAGTGTGGAACAACAGACTCTGGTCTGAGATACATTCCTTGCAACATGCTCCAAGTGTTTAGGAGCTGTACTGGGGAAGTGGTCAGCCTGACACTCACCAAACTTGATCTTACTTGACTGTCCCATCAGTCTTTCCCAAAGCAGCTTCTTTTTTTAAAAAGCAACATTTTTTTTTAAGTTTACATTTTATATGGGAAATGAGGTACAATGGGCATGAAACCAGACAGAAAAGCAGTAAATTCTGTAAGGGGTTATTATCTTAAAAACTAAAATAATAGTTAATAATTACTAATTCTTATCCAGTTCAGAATATATGGTTCTTGGAATACTACCCCTTGGAAGCCTAGGAATCTAAATTATAAAGTAAAGCTTAATGTAGAATGTTTATTTGAACATGCACCCTGCTCTCTTCAGTTTCCAGAATATTCAAATTCAGTATTACTACAGCCAGTTACTCTAAAGACCATTCCAGCAACACCATCAAACGAGAGACCGCCATCCCTGCCCAGCAATCATCCAGGTACTTGACACCTTATTATTTGCATCAAATAAGGAAACTTGTGAGAATATATGAATCTGCTAGAGATTTATTGGTAACTGAAAATAGATATACAGAGAGGAAAAATTAGAGTTCATTTACATTTTTAAGCTACATGAGATAAATTCAGGGCAGATACCATTATTATTGACATTAGGAGATTGTAAAAATGCTTGTGTTGCACTGAATGTTGTATTTTGAGTGCTGAGGTAAATGAACCTGTAATCGAAGTTTGGAAATCTTTTTGTTATATATAGATTTGTTGTACTTGGGAGTAGCATTGGAACACCAGTGTGCTTGTTTCTGGTTGTCAGTGTTTGTTAGGATCTTCTGTCAGAAGCCTAAGTCATAAAGAGAATATTAATTGTGTGTATCTCCTCGAAAAGCACAATGTGTGTTTCTTTCTGTTGCTTACAGCGATGACAAAGAATGATTTCCCGCCACCCAATTACTACGAGGTAATGGAGTTTGATCCCTTAGCTCCTGCTGTCACCACAGAGTAAGTCATTTACAAAATGATTATCTTTTTTGTCTTGGTTCCCTTTGGTAGCAGAGCTAACAGGGCTTGGTCATACATTTATCTTTGTTTAGGTGTTGGCAGAAATCAATGACCTTATTTAAAAATGACTTATGAGGTTTTCTTGGAGGTTGTTGCTCTTAATGGTCTTGTTATTCTCAGCCTTGTGACTAAAAAATAAAAATGCTGGGGTTGCACATTAAGAAATAACCAGAACCATCGTGTGCATTAGTATATTCCTTGTAGATGCCTTGAAGGAAAGTCAGGTTCTCTCCAGCTTGAGAAGGGCACTGTTCACTGATTAGTGACATAAGTACCACATGGATGGGATATTTTAGTTGTTCTTTGACTAATGCCAAAAAAGACTTATATAAGAACTTGTTTTTAATCTTCACTACCTATGACAAGAGTGTGCTTAAAATGGATTATTAGTGTAAAAATTACTTTTTAACTTGGGATCCTTAAAGCAGCATTATTTTGTGATTTCATATTGGTCAGTATATAAAAATATTTATGGAATGGTAGGCTCATTAGAGCTTTAATATACTTTGACTAAAGGTTACCCCCAAAATTGTTTAAAATGATTAAAGCAGGTTTATGGAAATCACTGTTTAGAAATTAGCAGCCTGCAGGCTGTTATCTTGCCTGCAGCTGTGTTTTGTTTGACCTGTGTGAATTTTAAATATGCATTTCAACACTAACTGCCAACAGTTAAAAAGTGGGATATTTCCAAAAATATCTGGACCTCTGGATTCTTTTCGATACAACAGCATTTTTATGTGTTAGCAATAGCTTGGGGCTGCATAGTAGCTGCCTCCTTAAGATGAGACAGCTTCTGCAGTCCACCAGGCCCCACCTGGCCCACTGCATACCTTCATCTGACCTGCCTGGCATGTGTAGGCATTTGAGGTTTTGTCCCTGGTTTAAACCCTCAATGTAGTGATCTATTTTGGAATGATTTATGAATGAATCTTAATAGGCTTAGGAATTCATTAAATATTTTTTCCTAACAAGATTGTGAAACTTTCCTAGGTCATTCTGCTTGATAAAGTATCACTGAATATATTAGTGGTTTAAGGAATTAGAAACTGGTTAAACTGGGTATGCTGTCTGGAAACCGGATGTTTTTATCGGTTTCTCCAGGCAAATAGGAAGCAGAAAAGTATATTATTATATTTTAGTTAATTATGAGATTGTTGTAAGTAGATGTGGTGGTGCAATAGATATTAAAGGTAAGAGAGATAGTAAGAAGCTGGAATTCCCTACCACTACAATTCTTACTTTCAGGAGGGTAGGGTGTCTCAATTTCTTTGAACATTCCATGAAATCCAGGGAACTTCTGCCTAAGGAAAAGCACAAAATCTTGCAGAAAAGTTGGGGGATATTCACATCACTAGTTGTCCATGAACCCCAGGTTAAGAATTTCTACTCCAGCAGAACATACAGTATAGTACTTATGAATATACATATACATACACATGATTCACTCATTTGACAAATGACTGAACACTGTCTATGTGCAAGGGGAATTGATTGCTACCTAATTTATCATGTTAAAACTCATGGAGGGTAAATCTAGTATGGATGCAGAAATTAAATCAGCAGGCAAACATGTATTTACAGTTTGTGTTAATGATATGAAAGATAGTGACTTGACAGTGTGTAACAGAAAGAACTGATTTAAATGAGGGTAGAGAAAGCCTGAGAAGTGACGTTAAGGTTAAGACCTGCAGTTTTTAGTGTGACAAGTTTGGGAGTCAGTGTTGCAGGCTCAGGTAACAACTTACACAAAGACCCTGTGGGGAGAGAGTTTGGCGCATTCAAGAAAATGGAAAAGCCAAGAGCAAAGAGAGCAACGGGGAACAACCTATCACCAGATGTGGAAATTGCAGTTTGGAAACAAAAAGGAGGGAGTACACAACTGTGGTAAACATTACTGAAGACAAACACTCAATAATGGACTAAGTAACAGGAAATCATTGGTGATTTTAGTAAAAGCATTTTGGTAAATCGATGGGGACAGAACCAAATTTCAGTGCATTAAAAAGTAAGAGATGAAGTAGACAATAAGTGCACAGGTAACTTACATAGAAACTTAAACATGAAGGGATTGTGGAAAGTGGCCTCGGAGCTAGAGGATTACTGAGGTGATTAAGTAGACATGGGATAAAGGACTGTATTATTTTATAAAATGGGAGATGCTGGAACATCTGTGAATCCTAAGGGGTAGGATTTAGTAGAGAATGAGAGGCTGAAGATTTAGGAAGGGAGATACCTAAATGAGTGAGGTGTTTGAGAAGCTAGGGGTAGACAGATAGGATCATAGAAGTAGATGATGGTGCAGATGAAAACAGACTTGAAGATTTGGTGATGGAAGCATGAGGAGGTTTCCATATCCAGCCATTTAATTTACTAAAATGTGAGGTTTCTCACTGAGAGGAGGGGCATCAGAGATTTGAATAGAGTGAAGGAGGTTGAAATACTTTTGTGGAAAACGAGAGACAAAACTTATTAGAAAAACATTAAAATTTCTGGACCATGCTGGGGCTTCTTGAGGTTAGGGATCATGCCTTCAATGTGCTGTGATTTTTATGAGATTTTTTTTCCTTAGCCATGTGTTGTTATACTGTATATATTAACGTCATATTTCTAGGTATAGATATGTTCTATCTACAGACATACGTAAGACAAATATAAAGAATTGAACAAAGACTGTCATAGAAAAATGACTATATACAAAGCACAAAGATGACAGTTATATGCTAAAGGTAGCTCAGGAGTTTGGACTGTAATAACATACGTTAAATAAGCTAGAATTTTTAATGTGTTTTATAAAGCCAGGGAAAGATGAACAATTTTTGCTTTTTTTTTAAATCAGGAAGCAAACTGTCCAAATTTTGAGCCATATTTCTAATTACAAGTAAAATGGTTACATAAGATACATATTTGTAAGATGTACGGGAATAGCAGCATTAGGATCTAAGAAAGTTGTAATGTAAGCTTCAGGACAGAGACCTTTGTTTTTATTTACTGATATAGCCTGATTTCCTGAACACCTAAAATAGCACCAGATTTTTAGTTAAGTTGTTGGCAGCTAAAAGCCAAAATAGTACATTGAAATTGATATATAACCCTTTTGCCATTATGGCTTGTTTGTTTCAGAGCTATTTATGAAGACATTGATGTTCACCACCACAAAGGAGCTCAAAGTCACAGTGACCACTGAGGTAAAGGCTTCAACTTACGCAATTACATTCCACATGATTTCAGTGTAACTGTCACTTTCTACATTTATTATTTAATTTTGTAAGGGCCATCACAGTCTGACACTCTGATGAGTGAGGTATTATTAAACAAGTTCCTCTGAGTCACTCAAATTGTAATGAACTATTGTTCACTAATGAAATACATTCTTTGTGACCATGTTAGCTAAAAATTATAAATCTTGGGAATGCAGAAGTAGGTTTATGGTATAGAAATGTTAATGCTAACAAAAACCGATGATCAATAAAAACTTCTTAGCACTAAAATCAGATGTGTCTTTTATGTGCAGTTAATACCTGTTAGCTGGGACTGGTAGAAGCCATTCATTGTTAGTCTAGATTGGTCTGGATTCTATTGCTTTACTAATCATTCCATTTATTTACTAATAAATGCACACAGCCACCAGTCACCTATTAACCTTATTTATTCCCTCCACAGCTTCCCCCATGGAAGTAGTACATTCCCACCTTTCCTCTACTAGACTGTGGCTCTCTAGTTACAAGGAATGGGGAAAGAGGAAAAGATGGAGATGGTTGACTCTTCTTTTTATTCCAGGTGGAAGTGGATGACCAGCTCACTAGCAGCATTATGGGTGCCAATTCTCCTAAAGGTAGACCCTGTCCAGCTTTGAGACCCAGAAGTTAAGACCTTCCAGAATGTCAAAGCCACAGTGGAACATTTCTCCTCTGCAGTAATGAGGTTTAAACAGAAGAGTAACAGTTCCAGAGTAACATTTATGGTTCCTGACAGCAGCTCAAGCTTTATCTCAAAAGAACTTGGTTGTAATATATATTCACTTAAAACTTAAGCAAAAGAAAAATTCATGGTACTGAGGCCAACCAGATTAAGTGTAGCACCTCATGTTTCAGACCTTCCTACATTTAGAAATTATCACAAGAGCTCGGATAAGAGTAGATGAAGACTGTTTCATTACAAAATAATTGTTAACAGATGGAAGCATGAAATGTGAAAAACTATTATTATTCAGGAGAATACTGAGTGCCTTCACTTAACTAAAGTTGAATGTAAAAGTCAATTTGCACTTCTTTATAAATAATACTCTTGTTTAGGATTATGAATTGTAAAAGCCTTGATTGTAGTTTAATATTTCAGGTACCCTCAAGAGGTTACTGTATTCTACACTGTTTGCCTTTAAATATAATTCTTTATAACACTAAATGCTCTTTTTTTCTTTTTGGAAAAAAAACTACTGGAAAACATTTAGAATAAATTGTACTTCGGTTTCTCATAAATTATAATGACAAATAAATTACTATTAAAACAGTTCAATACATCTTTTTTCAGAAGAACTCTGCTGTCAGTAAATCTTCACAATCCCACTTACATTTTAAAATTTGGAGACTTGGAACTATCACAAAAAATGCTAGAAACCTACCACATATACTTATGCATTTTATTTAAATTTCATGGTACTGAAATTTCAAAGTACTTGTTTAGTACTCTGAATGTAAAATAGCCCTAGATCTTAAAGGAAAAATACAGTCAAATTTGAAATCAGAATGTAATCTTTAGGCAAGTTGTTAGGGCTTAGTGATTCCTCTTCCATTTTGAGCTTTTAAAATAGTGACTCTTGGGGCTTCCCTGGTGGCACAGTGGTTGAGAGTCCGCC